AAAATAGTTGCATTTTTTTTTTTTAAAAAATTCTTTAAATGAAATAATTTACGAATAATATAATACCTAAAAGAAAATTTTCACGCAAACTTTATTTCAATTTACTCCAAAAAAAAAAAAAAAAATTAATAAGAAAATTTCTTGTTTTATAACTTTTAGGGTGAATTTTTTTTTTTTTGGATCTTTTAAATTAGAATGAAATTATTGTGACAATCATAATATAAATAGTGATATTAATTAATTACTGGATAAATGTTTGGTTAAGAACTAATTTTAATGCGAATTCATTTAAGGAATTAATTTATAAGTTTAAGCTTTAAGTTATTATCAATAAAAAATATCCAAAAGTTGTTTTACTAATACTAGTAATAATAATGTGACCATAATTATTATCATTAATATTTAGTCAATTCAATATAACTTTCAAATTATTATCACTACAATTCACGTTATCATTGATAATACCATGATTACACTGCGTTTATCTTTATCCAAAGAAAAAAAAAGATATCCAAATATTACGAAATAATTGATCAATTTCAATTCACTTGCTAATCTCGCTATCACTAAATGTTTATTGCCCTTATCAATCTCCTTATCAACAAACCAAAAAATGTCCACATTCAAATTTCAAATATGCGACACTCTATCAAGCTAATGTTTGACTACTAAATAATTATGAATAAATATTTCATTCTTAAGTTCTACATGTACAATTGACAATTTTTGCTTTTTTTTTCTTTCTAATGCAATTTGCTCATTTTAACAATATTATTTTGTATATATTAATCTTATCAGTAATGATTTTTAGGATAACTGATAAGATCAGAAAATGCTCAAAGTGAACCTTTGACATTTGTTTCATTTAAACATACCTAGATTAAGTTTTCAAATCAATTTTTTTTTTACATATCTTCTATTTTATTGCTCAGAAATTTAAAGAATTGTTAATGGATGTAAAAGAGAAATAAGAACTTCACTATTTTTTTTTTTTTTTAATATTTAGAATATAAAATCTTAAAAAAGAAAATTGGATTTAAAAAGTCGAATATGTCCAATGTTACTTATACAATTACCTTAAAAACGAAATTAACTTTTAAAAGCGAAATTAACTTTTATATATGAAAAGATGGATAAAGAGAAATAAAGAAAAGAAAAATCAGTTGAGTACTTTTAAGAAATAAAAAAAAGGAAAAAACCATCGAAATCGATTAAAGGTGGAATTTTGAAATGTAAAATGGTGAGAAAAGTGTATGTGAAAAATGATAAATGAATTAATAATTCATTACAATATTCCATACCATTTAATCTTATCAGTAATGATAATTGAAAAAGTCAAATTCTAATATCAAATGATTTCAAATTCGAAATAATATAAGAAAAGATGAAATTTTAAAAATAATTAAATTTTACTTTTTTCTTTTGGAAAAAAAAATATTTTGAAGAAAAAAAAAATTCTCGTAGTGAAAGAAAATTTTAAAAATTGTCAAAGAAAGGAAAGATCAATGAGCGCCTATTCTTCTGATAAAGCATGAAAGCGCAAATGAATAAATTGTAAATAGACGGGGTATGTTGAATTATAAATATGTTAGTAAATCCGTTTTTTTTTTTTTTCTTTTTTCTTTTTACTTCTTTAGCTCTCTCTTTCTCACTGATATATTTATTAACTTTTTAACTTTTTTTTTTGTTTAAATTTAAAGGACTTTAATTTAAATTAAATATCTTATATTTAAAATTTAAACCAAAGTAAACGGATATTAGAAATTGCTAGATGAATTATATTTTATTGTTTCTTAAAATACAAAGTTCATAAAAAAAAAAAATTGATTTTTTTAGTAAATTAAAAATATGTGACAATTATTTGATGTTAATTTCCTGAAGTTTGCTAATTTTTTAATTTTCAACTTTTAACAATTTCTTAAATAATATATATCTTAACTATCATTATCAATTCAGAGATATCACTAACATCCAAAATGATTCAAAGGTAGATTTGAAACTAATTTTATCATTTTTCTTTATCACAATATATAATATCAGATTGCATTTGGACGAAAAATTGAAGCCTAGTAATCAAGCTATAAGACTTGTTAAATTAATTCAAAATAATCAATTTCATTATCATTCATTATCATAAATGTAAACATTAAAGAGAACAAATTTAAAAAGAAGAATTTAAGCATGATAATTAATTATGATAATTCGATTATGATAACAAAAATTTGTAATATCATATTATTGTGAAAACTTTGAATAATCATTTAAAAAAGAGGAGGAAAAAGTAAGAATTTAAGCAAAATAATTAATTATTTTAATTAAAGCAAAAAATCCAAAATTTTTTTTAGAATTATTTCATATTTTTATTCGCCAAAAAGTTCGATCCTTCGTTTGATTTGTTTGAATGCAATTTAAGTTGCTAATTTTTTATTTGGCATTCGAAAAAATTCATCCTATTGGTAATAGTTTTGTTTTGGCTTTCTAAATTTTATAAGTTGACAATAACTTGATTAAGCCTATTTTAATTAATTGGAATTATTTTTAATACGCCAAAGAACTAACTTTAATATATCTTGAAAATTCTTAAAGATATATCAAAATAAAACAAATGAAATTTTACAAAATTATCTTCAATCTCATTTTAAACAAATCTAAATCACTCTAATATCCAATTACTAAAAATACAGAAAAAAAAAAAAAAAACTTAACTCGTTGAAAACAATTCAGTCGTCTTCGAGCTGATATTTTGGTTGTTGAACAAATGCTGATCATACCTTGATAAGATATGCAGAAAATATCATCTTATCATTTTATTTCACAAATACAAAATAATTTCAAACAAATTGTTTAATTTTAATTTTGTTCAAAATTAAAATCAAAATTAAAAAAGTAAAAAGGTTAAGTAATAATTGAACGAAGTGCTTAAGCAACAGATTAAATCATAACTGAATTTGTTAAGTAATAACTGACTGAATACTTAAGCACTAAATTAAGCAATAACTTGACCTATTAAGCAATAAGTTTGAAGTAATTTTCAAATATTTATTTACAATTTAGACAACTTACCGCAATTTTCCACACCTTCTTCAATGGGAAGTTCTCGGCGTTGATTGGAATGCACCGGGAATGTTAATCTAACAGTAGGAGTCCAAGATTGTCGCGAATATTCCGAGAGTTGTAATTTTTCGATACTCTCATCATCTATCTGAAGCGGTCGTTTAGCATCATCATCATCATCCAATGAAATAGGCGATAGCATGCTGCATAAATTTAATCTTGCCAAAGTTGGAAAAGTTTTTGATTCCGTTGGAATTGATGGAAGACGACGACGGATACGGTAGTTATCATTTCGCCAAACCATTTCCATTAGAATTTAAGAATAAATCACGATAAACTTTTCTTTTTTTTTTTTGTTTGAATAATATCAATCAATTTTTGATTAATATACATATAAACCTGCAAAATCAATAATTTTAATTAAGTTATGTTTTGTTTACAATTATAAATGTAGCAGCATCAATATACAAATTTTATTATTTTTTACTTTAAATATTTCATAAAATTAAATTAATGCAAACTTTATCCTTCTAAAAAAATGTCAACAAAGTTGAGATAATTTGAAAATATTCGATAAAATTAGCTAGCAAATATATTTTCTCAAATAGCAAAAATGAATTATATATATATTTTTTTTCCTCATTAATATTTTAAAATATTTCTGCAGCATTGTGAAAAAAATTTACTTGCTAAAAATCGATTCAATATGTTTGCTTCCTATTTTTTTTCCCCCCCCCCCAAAATAATAAAGCACTAGAGAGAATTTTAAATATACAATCGTACCTGAAAATGAAAATTAATAAATGAGAGTTATTTTAATTAAAATAATTAGGAGAGTAAAATTTCAAACTATATTAGTTTGCTTGTGATAAAATAAACTGATTAATGATTAATTAATGATATGATATGTAAGATCATCAAGCGAAGGATTGTAGCTAAAAATGAACGATTTAAAAAAGATTGCAAAGAGTTATTTTTGAAATTTTTCCTAAGATGAATTGTAGAAGAGCAGATTTTTTCTTTTTCTTATTTTTTTCTTTTTTTTTTATGTTTTAAATGTTGGCTGAAACAAAACGTGGAAAATTACGCTAATTTTGGTAGATAAAAAATATGGAAGGGATGTTGAGATCATTTACTAATTAAAATTCTCTTAATTAGCATTTTTTTTTTTTTTTGAACCCTTTATTTAGTATCCTTTGAAGTTATTCATTACTTTTTTCTTTTTTTTTTTTTTTTTTTATTTCCATTATTTTTGCTTTTTACAATTTTTTTGATACTATTTGAAAAGAAACAACAAACTTATTGTATTGTTTAATCAAAATCTTTCCTTTATTCTATAAAACTTTGAGGAAAAATTTAATATTTGATCTTACTTTGTAATATTTTTCATAAAAAAATTTTAAGTAAAAAAAAAAAGAATCATGATAAGATTAACTGATTTGGTTTATTATTTCATAACTCAAATGATTGTCATCAATATTGTCATCAAACGTTGGTTCAATAATAACTAAATAATAGACAACTATAAAAATACTTCAAAATTTATGTAACATTAAAAAATGTTTCAATTAATGAATTCGGAATTGCAGCTGCAAATGCATGCATATTTGTATATCTGCACTTATCAATGCTTTGATATTTATGACTATTAATGATAATGCTTTAATTTAATATCAACAAAATTTGCAGGATATTTATTGATGTTTGATATTTAGAAGATAAATGAAAAAGGAAGACTATCATCATATTTCTCATGCTTATCACCATTGATAAAAATGAAAATATATTCATAATATGATATGATATTTAGAAGATAAATGAAAAAGGAAGACTATCACCGTATTTCTCATGCTTATCATTATTGATAAAAATGAAAATACATTGATAATATGATATATTGCTTTTTTTTTTCACCTATTTGATATATTCTCTTTGCATGATATAAGAAAGTTTTTTTTTCGTTTTTTTTTTTTTTCTTTTTAAAGAAAGAAATTACAGTAATGTATGTTTATGAGACATTTTAATCCTTTTTAACTTGAAAAAATTTACTCTAAACTAGACTCTATTACCATATATCAATCTTTGAACTTATCATCATTTCTGTTCACTGATAAATTTTGAAATCTATACAATTGAGCATACAAAAGAAAAGGGATTATGAATTATGTTCAAAAGATCGATCAAATAAAGCAATCATAGAAGTGTTTTTGTAAATAATTGTATTAATTAGTATTTTAGGAGTAGTTTGGAAACTTTTTTTTTGTCTAATAAGATTAAACTTTTTCCCATTGAAATGTGATGATTAAAAATATTGTTTGATTCATTTTAAATTTAGGTTTAATTTTTAAAATGAGCAGTTGCTATTTTGTTGAAAATTTTTAAAAACATTTATTTTGAGCACCTGTTCCATAAGACATTTCGAATATTGGTTGTGATTTTTTAATTATGTATATTTTACACAGTTTGATATAGCTCATTTGTTTTAATCGTCAAACTTTTTTTGTGATTTCAATATTTTAAAAGTTAGTTATAAAAAAAA